CTAAGCTAGCGTTTGGCCATAGATTTTCAAATATTATTTGGGTGAAGATTTGGGTGAAATTTCACCATGTGTTTGGCCATAGTATTTGGGAAATATATTTCAATTTTTTAAGAAATATGACTTATGCCCATAAGTTTTTAAAACTATCAAAACTAACCATAAATTTGTATTACATAGCAAAATAGAAATGTCGCGTAACAAGATTCATGACTTCCGCAACAAATCAAAAAGCATCATTACAGTAAATAGTCGCATCGTTAAAAAAGATGCATGGGTATAAAAGCTCTTGTACATGTATGCTCTTTATAATAGAAAAAATTATTAATTGAGTTAGTTAGCAGATGGAGATTTGATTGAGTTGGTTGGTGTTAATAAATAAAGTGTTTTTGTAAAAGATAAAAGTTTGGTGTTAAATTTGAATTTTTAAAACTTTCCAAATAATGAGATTTGGCCCAAATACTAGAAAAAACTAGTATTTGGGAATTTGGGTTATTTGCCAAAAAAATTTGCCAAATAATGAGAAAGTGTATGGACAAACAATATTTGCCAAATTTTTTTCCAAGTTTTACTTGGGAAATCTATGGCCAAACGGGCCCTAGGTGTGTCTTAGGGATTTTGGGCATAGACTGAAAGGGTACTTATGCATTTTCCCTAAAAAAAATACCAAAGTTTCAAACTTTGCAACTAGGTTTCAAACTTTGCAACTATGTAGTTATCTTGGTAAGATTTAGTTGGTATGAAGTTGTACCAACTTAAGACTTTAACCAAAATGGAGCTTGGAACCCCACAATTATCTGCTGACTATCAGTATATTCTTGAAAGAATTACTCTGCGTCTTCAAGGATGACACACTAAAATTTCTTACTTTGGCTGGCCGCACTACTCTGTTTTATGCAAAACAAAATATTAAAATAGAGAGAGCAGGTACAAAGATTTCCCAAGAGTGCAAAACAGGGAACTTCCTAGTTTAGTGTGCACATTTGCAGTTGGAAAAAAATCGAACAAGTACTATGATAAAATATTAGTAGTTCTTCAATTGGAAAGTCATGGGGGGGGGGGGGGGGGGGGGCGGGGCCATAGGGAACAACCAAGGGTTTGGGCCTAACTCGAAAAGCTGAAATTTGTATTTTATCATCGGTAGGCACCTTTGATATCTGTGGGTAGCTCATCTTCGGAGAGAAAAATCATGCGATGGATCAGTTAAGCCACAATTGTTTTTCTTCTTGATGCCATGAATGATCTCTTGAGTCACCAATTAACATCCCTTTAACAAATCCAGATTAATTATCTGAGATTATTGAGGGAAGAATTGTGGCCAACCTACTCGAGAGGATCTTGGATACGATCTTGTTGGATACACTGCTTAAGCTTACAGGTCTCCAACTGATCTAGAGTGGTAGGAGAGGTAACTTTGGGAATCAAGACAAGATTCGTAGAGTAATGTACTTGATAGGAGAAGCAATGAGTTCGTGAACCAGCTATCTGCCGCTGTCAGCTTGATTCTAAAGAACTTTGAAGAATAATTGGGTAAATCATCAAGAATAAATGAAAAGTAGAGTTAATAAGATTTTTAATTCAGTGGATGCGAAATCTTTTAATGGAAACGAAAACAACATGCTAGTGTGAAAAAAAAAATTCTGTTCTATTTCATTCAGGAAAGAACAATTATTGCAGCAGGGGCGATGATAATACAAATAAGGCCACAGATATGTAGTAAATAATACTTTCTTCTCAACACACTAATTAACTCTATTTGCTGAATTCCCCAAGATTCTTCGGTCTAGGCTTCATATTTCCATTTTAACACGAAATTAGTCACTTGGTCAATTACAGATGTGGATTTCAACCATAGATACCACCTGGAGGCAGCCATTCCCTCTTCAGATGACCCACTACAACTGATGACTTCTTTTAAGTAACGATGCCACTTGGTATTGAATTGACATTCTTTACCATACTTTTGCTTTTGTATACACCCTGTTAGTGTAGACATCACCTGCATTTAAGCAAAAACATAAGACATAGAATATAATAATGCTTATGAGTCGAGCAATCAACATTTAACAACAAATTTTCTCATTGTAAAAAAATGTATCTAAAGTTAAGCTCTAATTAATGACAGTTTATACAAGTACAAGAGACGTTTTTTGAAAGGATTTCCAGGTAAAGCAAGAAATTACCTGGAGTGCTTTGCTATTTGTACATGGAAGTATGGACATGATCCTGGGACTGTAGAGCATTAACTTTCTAATGATCGATTCAACACCCAGTACGGGTTCAATGAATATCTCTATATCATTACTTGGAGGAATAAGAGTTTCTCTTGGATTTTCATAAATAAGGATGTTATTCGTCTGCAAGAGTTTTGTGATTGGAATAGCTTAAACCAAATTCAACAAGTGATGCATAAATCAAAGGCACAAAAAGAATGGAAAGTACCTTGCAACAAAATATTACTAATATTAAACCTTTAGAATAGTTGAACTTTTGAACAAAGTGATGAAGATTTGTGTACCAATTGTTGTCCACTGATCCAAAATTTGTGCTCGGCAAGGAGAAAATGAGTTGGGCTCTTTCCAGGGAAGAAGGATCCATAGATGAGAAGGGCATTTTATCACCCTCAAAATCAAATTCCAATAGCTTTGGTGCTTGAATCGTGACTTTTTCCAGACGGTTCAACCCTACTAAAGTGAATTTCTTGTGTTTTTCACTCTAAATCTCTATATTTTTCAGGTTAAAGCATAATGTTAGATCCAATTCTGAAATGTTTGGGAACATCTCGAAACTGTTGGTCTGTGATACTGGCACCAGTGAGCTTGAGTGTTTGTAAAGTATTGTAACCATCCAAAATAGCAATTTCGCAAGGATGATCAGGAACTTCTACATATCTAAAGAATTGAAGATTTTGGACCTGGACTATCACTCTATTAAGTTTGCACAATACTACTGTCAAATTCTTGAGATAAACTAGGCCAAAAACATGCAATTTGCTTATTCCCTGGCAAGAGACTAGATCTAGAGTCTTGATGAATGGGCATCTATCGATAACTCTTTGCAATTGAGCATCAGAAATATGAACATAATACAAATAAAGATCCTCAAGACAACAAAATCTTATGTGAGTGGTGCTAATATCAAATTCAAACTTGCACCTACTTAACCACAATGTTTTCAGCTTTTTAGCATCATAAATAACATTAGGTAAGCTGTATGATTTACTTAAAAAGGAAGGGTAAATCACCAGCACGGTGACGTTAAGTTTAACCCCCAGTTCAATCCAATGATCCACTTTAGAATCCAAATCTCGATCACTATATGTAAGTTTTAATTTCTCTAGATGTAAGTTGTGTTCAACATGGAATCGTAGGGATTGATCAACCAACTTGACAAACTTTTCCAGGGGCATATATGTGTTGCCTTGAAATTGATGGAGTATCAAATTAGGTCTTGAAGTCCAGCAATAGTACCATCTCTTGGACAACATATAAGTTGCTGCCGCCTCTTTCACTTCGAGGTTGGTGCGGCATAAGATGTGATGAATAATATGCACAGGCAATTCTGATGTTCTGTCTTCTCTTTTTGCCATATCGCTTAATTTTTTGTTTTGTTGGTACCGTCGTATGCCCTCACAGAAAGAGTCCTAAGAATATCTCAGAGAAGAAACAACCCTAATTATATAAAACCTGCAGATGCCTAATCTTATGTTGAAAATTATTTGTAAATATAATAAACCATGAGTTAATATCTCATAAGGTGCTCAACTTTGAAAATTTATCTACTAAAGTCATTGAACGTTTGTATCAATAAAATCATTCAACTTAAACATTTATATCAATAAAATCACTCAAACAAATTTATTATTTAAAAAAGGGACAAGGGTCAAAAAGGCCCTTGTACTATGTGAAAAGATCAAAAATGCCCTTCGTTTATACTTTGGTTCATTTATGCCCTAAATGTTAGAGAAATGGGCCAAAAACGCCCTTAATGAAACGGAAGTAACGGAAGATTCTTAAACAATTTAATTAGTCTTAATTAGTGTTTAGGATTGTTGCTATTTGACGAAGCATAGACGTTGACAAGAAACATTCAGTTTTTACGAATCAAGTTCATTCACAAAGCAAAAGCCATCTTCAAGGAAGAACATTGTATTCAACGAGGGACCTGTTGGAGTGTTGCAACGTCTTTTGTTGTATTTTGAGCTTTGTGTCTTGTGTTCTTATATTGTAAATCTACTCTTAAGTTATAAAGGATAGTAGATCAGTTGCTTGTCTATGTCTTTAGTATGAGTCGGATTAACTAGAGTTAGTTAGTCGAATCATCTATGTTTTAGTCAAGCCTCTTTACGTCATTGGCTCGGTGTTGTCTTGGGTAGAGTTGCCGAGGAGTGTCAACTAGAGTTAGTTGATGTGTGGGTGCAGTAGAGTTGTTGTTTGTTTCTTCTCTTATTTTTGATATCTGAATTGGTGGCTAGAGTTAGATGTGGTGTATTGTTGTAGTCTATATCAGCTAGAATTAGTTGGTGTAGTGGGCAATATAGTTTTGGTTTTCTTGTAATAGAGGTGTTAAAAGGGGGAGGTATTAAAAGCCAAGTTTGTAATCTGAAACTTGGCTTGTTGTTAGTGAAGTTGTTGGTAAAATCCAGTGAGATGGTTTTTCCTCCCTTGAGCAAGGAGGTTTCCACGTAAACATACTGCTTCATTTCACTTTCAGCATCTAACTTCAACACTCCCGTAAACTGATTATGTCAAGGGACCTGGTCTGTTTTCGTGCAGAGTTTTGTAACAAGAAGAGGGTCTCTCTTCTAGGAAAGTTGTTAGAACAGTTAGAGTCAACGGAAGGTACTCGAGTTAGTCCTTGGATTATAGAGTTGTAATTTGAAACCACTTCTTGAAGTTAATGAAGGCTGATGGAGATCTCACACACAGTAGGTCGTGGTTTTTAATCCCTTGAGCAAAGAGGTTTTCCATGGTAAATCTCGTGTTATCTATTTTACTGTTTTAGTCATTCTTAAAGAACCAGCTTCCATAAGTCGAGTAGTTAATACTAGTTTGTTTGATACATTGAAATGAGCATCCCTATAACATCATTTTGTAATAGAACAACAAAAGACGTGATGGAGTGTAGAGATAAAGAGAGCTGTATTTCATTTGTGCTCGTATACATCAAACTAACAGTAAAGCACCAGAGTTTCTACTTAATTATATTTTCTTTTGAGATGCTAACTAGCATGGACTCTAGCAGCTGCTGCGTCTCGGGAATTTATTAGCATGAGTTAGGTGACACCAAGAGTTCAGAACAGAGTGTTACTTTCCATTGTCAAGATGTAGGAATTCTGTTCTATTTCATCCTGCCAGTTGAAATTTGCAAGAGATTAAACACTGATGGTTTGTCATTACCAATAGCAAGAGTTAAAATTCTGTTCTATTTCATTCAGGAAAGAACAATTATTGCCGAAGCTGGGGTGACGATATGTAACAACTGCAACTAAACTACAGATATGTAATAAATCATACTTCTTCTCAACACACTAATTAACTCTATTTGCTGAATTCCCCCAAACTCTTCGGTCTAGGCTTCATCTTTCCATTCTAACACGAAATTATTCACTTGATCAAATAAAGACGTGGATTTCAACCAGAGATTCCACATGGAGGCAGCCATTCCCTCCTCAGATGTCCCACTACAACTGATGACTTCTTTTAAGTTACGATGCCAGACGGTATCGGATGGACATTCTTTGCCACAATTTTGCTTTTGTATACACCCTTTTAGTGTGGACATCGCCTGCATTTAAGCAAAAACATAAGATATATTATACAATAATGCTTATGAGACGAGCAATCAACATTTAACAACAAATTTTCTGATTGTAAGCTCAAATTAATGTCTTAGTTTATACAAGCACAAGAGACAAGCAAGAAATTACCTGTAGTGCTTTGCTATCTGTACATGGAAGTATGGATATGATATAGGGACACTCGAACATTATTATTTCAATGATCGATTCAACACGCAGCATGGATGCAATGAATATCTCGACTTTGTGACTTGGTGGAATAACAATTTCTCCTAGATTTTTATAAATAAGGATGCTTCTGGTCTGCAAGAATTTTGTCAATGGCATAGTTTAAACCAAATTCAACAAGTAATGCATAAATCAATGACATAAGCACAAAAATAATGTAAACTACTTTGATTTACCTGGTGGCAAAATATTATTAATATGAAATCTTTAGAATAGTTGAACTTTTTCACAAAGTGCTGAAGGCTCGTGTACCAACTGCTGTCCACTGATCCAAAGTTTGTGCCAGGCAAGAAGAAATTGAGCCGGGCACTTTCTAGGGAAGAAGTATCCATATATGTGAAGGGCATTTTACTACCATGAAAATCAAATTTCAATAAATTTGGAGCTTGAATCGTGATTTTTTCCAGACTGTTCAACTCTTCTAATAAGGTGAATTTCTTGAGTTTTTCACTCTGGATCTCTATATTTTTCAGCTTATAGCATCTTGCTAGATCCAATTCTGAAATGTTTGGGAACTTATAGGATACATCCCGAAACTGTTGGTCTGTGATGGTGGCACCAGTGAGCTTGAGTGTTTGTAAAGTATTGTAACCATCCAAAATAGCAATTTGGCAAGGATGAAGATTGCCCTGTTCAGTAGGTTCTGTATATCTAAAGCATTGAAGATATGGAGCTTGGACTATGACACTATGGAGTTTGCAATAACTAGCATCGAAATACTTGAGATGTACTAGGCCAAAAATATGACATTTGCTTATACCCTGACAACACTGTAACCTTAGGGGTCGTTTGGTTTGAAAATGAGTTATGATGGGATAAGTTATGTTGGGATTAGTTATGATGGGATAAGTTGTGTTGGATTATTTTTATTGAGTGTTTGGTTTGTTATATTCAAAATAATAAATTTTAAGAACAATTTATTTATTTACAAAAATGCCCTTCATTAAGGTAAAAAGTGATACAACAAAAGGGTTGAAAGAGACATTTTTGTCATTTACCTATTTTATCCCGGGATAAGTTATCCCGGGATTACTATACCACCCAAGGAGAGGGATAACTTATCCCGGTACTAATTATTAATCCCGGGATAAGTTATCCCGAACTTGCCAACCAAACAACAAAATAAGCGGTACTATAATTTAATCCCGGGACTATTTGGTATTATCCCTTACACCAAACGAGTCCTTAGAGTCCTGATAGATGGGCATCTGTCGATAACTCTTTGTAATTGGGCATCTGAAATATGGACATGATTCAAAGAAAGAGACTCAAGACAAGAAAATCTTTTGTCAAATTCAAAATTGCACCTGCTTAACTGCAATGTTGTCAGCTTTTTAGCATCATAAATAACATCAGGTAAGTTATATGATGTTAAACCGAAACGGTGAATTCCCAGCTCTGTGACGTTGAGTTTAACCGCCAATTCAATCCAAGTATCCACGTGAGGATCCACTTCTTGACCATTATATGTAAGGATGAATTGTTCAAGATGTAAATTTTTTTCGACATGGGATCGCAGAGATTGATCAACCAACTTGACATAGTTTTCAAGGGGCCTATATTTGTAGCCTTGAAATTGATTGAATATCAAATTAGGTCTTGAAGTCCAGCAATAGTACCATCTCTTGGACAACATACAACTTATCGCCGCCTCTTCGACGTCGAGGTCAGTGCGGCATAAGATGTGATGAATGATATGCACAGGCAATTCTGATATTCTGTCTTCTCCATCAACACAAACTCTTTTTGCCATATTGCTTGCTTCGTTTTGATTTCTTGGTGCCGTCGTATATCCTCTTTAAGGGTTTCACTTTCTCACTAAAAAGCCGTCATCATATATTTCGGCGAACTAAGTGAATATCCACTTTTTAACAACTATTGTTAAATATTAGCCACTATATTTAAAAAGGAAAAAAGACAAATATATTCCGAACTATGATTTACCCGATTTTTTATTTAATTTTTTACCCAAAATTAAAAAACCTACCCAACTTCCATAAAATTCCAATTATAACTCAAACCTTATTTCTTAGCGACCCAAAACAGTCCTTCCAATACAATCCCGCCGCCGGCCGGCCATTCTCCCTATAGTTCAGTTGTGGCTATTTTGAAAATCCTCATCTGTCCTTATTTGAACGGGGATTTCTGTGATTATACGTTGAGTTCTTAGCCATCTGATTTTTTCTTTCTTTCAGATATAAGTGATTCAATTTTGCTTATGAAATAGATTTATGGGAAAACAGTCTGATATACCCCTAAATTTTGTTATTTAGAGCTGATATACCCCTCGTTATAAAAGTGACTCATATATATCTCTATTGTTATACAAATGACTCACATATATGCTATACCCTTTTTCCTCTATCGGAAGTGAAAAAACTAATTTTAATTTAATTTTTCATTATTTTTTTGATGTATCCACCTCAGAGATTGATCAACCAACTTGACATAGTTTTCAAGGGGCCTATATTTGTAGCCTTGAAATTGATTATTTTAATCATAAATTTGATAATAATTAATAAGGGTAAAAATGAAAAACTATGTTCAATTTATGTCTTAATTTATTTTTCTTAAAGGGTGTGAAAAACTTCAAAAATTAAATTAATATGAAATGGAGGGAGTAATAAATATAATAAATGTTGATTATGGGGAAGCCGAAGGGATAAATTTTTCTGGCAGAAATTTTTGTGCAACATTAATACATACTTATGTTTATTCTTTAATAAGGAGAGAATTCAATATTATGCTTTAATATTTTGTAAAATCTTAAAGTAATATTTTGTCTTCAAAAATGAGGAAAAATGGCCAAAAAAACTACAAAATAGAAAAATAGGTTTCTAGCCCTTAGAGGCATGCCACATCATCAAGTCTAACATTCTCTTTTATATATATACTAGTAAACGTATTCGCGCTTTGCGCAATTATGAAAAGCTTTACTGGATTTATGAATAAGTACTTTTTAATACCTAAATATTTGAAGAATTGTAAATATTTACGAATTGCAAATTTTCACAGTTTCAAGTCGTGAAAATAGCCTATTGCAGAAATGTAAGACAGACCACATGCAATTAGAGCTGTCAAAATGGGCTGGCGCAACCCAACCCAATCTTAACGGGCTAGAGAGTTAAATGGGTTGGGACGGGCTGGCCCTTTTAATTAAAGGGCCGATAAAATAGCAGCCCAACCCAGCCCTAAGTAGGCCACGGGTTGGGACAGGTTGGCCCTTCAATAAAAAAACGGACAACTTCTCCTCTTAGAAAGGATACGAATGTCGATGTCCGATGGACACGACATCAATACATACATAAATTCATTCATGAATTACACATACTTCAGTGAATATTTACAAAACAAATACATAATAGCCAAGATACAACATTCATAAGATTCATCCGAGCAAAAAAACATTACATTATCATTATTTTCATAAACAAGACAATAAAGGAGAAGTGAAAAAAATTAGGCATAAAAACAAAAGTAAAGGACGTCAAAGATTCATAGTTATAATGGAGCAATGAACTTGGGCTAATAAGAAAATTTAGTGGGCTAATGACCCTAAAATGTAAAAGATATGTAAAAAATATAGTCTTGATTTTATATTGATATTTTAAAAATATTTATTGATAAATCTTTACAAATAAAACACTACTAAAAATATATATAAAAAATATTTTAAAAAATTAATAGCCCATGGGCTGGCCTCTGAGGCTTGCGGGTTGGCCCTACGAGGCTACGGGCCAAACGAGGCTGGGCTAAAAAGCCTCGTTCCTAAATGGGCCAAAAAAATTAAGCCCAACCCCACTTAATTCAAGGGTTGGGTTGGGCCGGCCTCGCGGGCCAAGCCCATTTTGACGGCTCTATCCACCTTGCACATTTTTTTTTTTGACTTTTTTGTTTCAACGACTAATTTAAATTTATTATTTTGATAGTCAAATTTATTTATGTTTCACTAATTTCTTGTAAAATTTATTATAGATGCTCCCATTTTTTTTAACAAATACAAAAACTAAATTACAACAACTAATTTTTTTCTACACTAAAGGGCAAAAAAATTAAGCAAAATTTCTAAAATGACAACAAAAATTGAGGATCAAACCAAAATGGCAACATTTGGATGGAAGGATGGATGTCGTTAAATTGGATGTTGTAAGGCTCATGTCAGTACATCATGAGTCACATAAAAAAAAGGGCGCACTTTTTAAAAAACCATTAATATTCCTTCTTTTTTTTTTTTTTTGTGTTTTCATGTTTTTTTTTTTCTATTTTCACTATTTATATACAAATAAAATGTAAGTGATGCGGTCAAGTCTAATAGTTTTTTTTATATATATAATTTGATAATATTGAGGACAAAATATAAGGATGTATTATATCTTTATTATTATTTCAAAGTGATGAATTATTTTTTAAATATAAAATTTTAACTATATGTTTAAAATAAAATTGCAGGACTATATATGTGCATACATATATCTACAAATAAGTAAGTGCCACGAGAGATGATTTATGATCGATTTAAATTTAATGGGTTCAATATTTAATTGATAATGGTTTTGGTTTTTTTTTTGTTATCACGTTATCGATTCTTAACGGTTTGAGGTTTTTTCTTAATGAGTTAGCATGTCTATAAACTTATAACCAATAAGTCAAATCGATAAACTTCAACACCGGACCGAACCTGTAACATCTCGTAAATTGAAATAACTAGGAAGAAGTTAAGAATTGGAAATAGTCATTTTTGGAAAGAAAATAAAATCTGGAAAATTTGTTAAGTATGTTAAGTTGAGTTTTGGTCAACTTCAAACGACCATAACTCCTAGCTCAGGAAGAGTTAGGTATGTTTACAGACTTTGTAGGAAATATCTTGGAATAATCTTTCCAATGCCGCCGAGTTTGCGCGATTCCGAGTTTGTATGAGTGAGATATGCCTATTGGAAGTTGGGTTGTTCAAACAAGGAAAGTCCAATCCGGATTTTGGAAGGGTATTTTAGTCTTTTCCTATCCCAATTGTTTTAATTCGTTTTTAGGAGTTTAATTGGGGTAAAATCAGATTTTAGTCAGTTTAGAAAAGTTGAAGTTCACGCTAGGGCTTGGAGAAAAGAGAAAAAGGGAGAAAGGAGAAGAAAATTCAAGATTCGTCGATTTCTTGGAGATTTGTGTATGGATTTCGTCAAGGGGTGATCCCTACGAGGTATGTGAGATCACATAGCATTGGATTAGTTCATCCACGCGCCAAACATGATTCAATGCCGCAAAGTATATTAGATTTGAAATTAAATCCTTTGAGTTCTTGATGATAGTCGTTTGAATTCTTGTGGGTTGTGTTGTTGAAGTTTCTTTGAGATTTGATTCATGTTTTCGGGTGTAATTTCGAGTTGAATCTAGTATATATTGAGGGTATAATTGATTCTAAGTGTTTGGGGAAATAACCAAGTGAAATTAAAGGGTTTAGAGATAAAAAAACGAAGAAGAAAAGTCGGAGGCACCTGGGCAGGGGCCTGGGCGTCGCCCCTCTCATAGTCCCAAGAAAAGTTCTCTGATTTTTTGCCTCTGGGGCGTTGCCCCTCTCAGAGCCCCAAGCAGGGGTCTCTGAATTTTGGGCTCTGGAGCCCCACGCGTCTCAGAGCGCCAAGGACATCAGTTCACCCCATTTCCTCCCCATCAATTCGTACTAGTTCCTTAGCAATGTACCTATGTTTTCTAGTTGATTCCAACACTCTTAGGTGTCTAAACATCATGAAATCATCCATAAACATGAGATCATGAACCTTGAATCCATACTTCAATTCAAAGAAAGTTAAGAGTCAAGTGTAGAAGTTAAGAAGCAAGTCAAGAGAAGTTCTTAAAGTTTCAAAAGTCTTTCGCAAACGTTTTAACTTTGTTTTAAGACTTAAATTTCAAGTTAAGCAAAGAGTAAAGTTTTGAAGTTCATTTCTTCAAAGAAGTATATGGGGACTATGTATTCCCAAAGAGTTTAAAATGTTTTCACATTTGAGAAAGAAAGGGAACATCGATTCCAAGAGAGTTTTTAAACTATGTTTTGAGTAATTATCTCAAACCAAAGAAAGAAGTTTTGTTTTAAAAAATATATGAGCTAAGTATAATTTGGGAGTAGTATTGAGCACCGATATGGGGGATGCGAGTTCGTATTAACTCAAGTCTCCATAAACCATGTAGCCATCATGGGTAGTAAAGGATCATACTTTTTAGATGACTCCTTAAGTGCTTTTTAGCATAGACTAGTGGATCCACTTAGTTAATGCGTTCTATATGACGACAAAGTATATGACAGTTATGGCAGCGTGGGCAAGACGTTGTATCACCACTTAGGCTCATAGTGGTGGTTGTTGGTTAGAGAAACTCCCACAGAAACTATATTACTTTATTATATGAGTAAAATTGAGTTTGTTATTGCATTTTCTTTAACGAACTAAGTTGTTTTCCACTGTTTTTACAAGCTTTCTATATATTGCATGTGTTTTATTGCTTTATATTGAGTTAAGTTATTCAAGAGGTGAAGTAAAGCCAATGTAAGTGTTCCTTTCAGTATTTCTTTTCAAGTCTTAAGTTATGGTTAGCATTCCAACTCGCATACTCGTACATTCAATGTACTGATGCCAGTTGGCCTGCCATCATCTTATGATGCAGACACAGGTAATCAGGATCAACATTCAGCGCCTCGTTGATCAGGTTGAGCACTCAGAGTCAGTTGGTGAGCCTCCTTGCTTTCCGGAGGGCTCCTTTTTACATTGC